CTCGCTACCGGATGAAACGTGCTACAGTGCTACAGTAAGAGGAAGAAATATTTAAAACCGCTCAGTACGCCCTGGTCATCCCAAGCATGGTATGCAATTTCGAATGGTACCGCTCGATACGGGCAGTACGTATCGGTTCGACGGCATACCGGTACGCAGACCGCCCGCTACCGGACGGAACGTGCTACAGTGCTACAGTAAGAGGAAGAAATATTTAAAACCGCTCAGTACGCCCTGGTGTACCGCTCGGTATATGGTACCATACCGTACCGAACCAACCTCAAAACACTGGTACGGTACGGTATTGCATACCTTGATCCCAAGACAGTTTTGAGACAATTTCCCATGTAGAGGCGACAAGAGTGATATAATCAAACTAAATATTAGCATCAACAAATCTAACAACTGAGATATAAAATTGGAGCAGACTGTAGATGAGACTTCATAGTACACATGAATAAGCCTTTATATGGTTGGCAAGATGATGTCAACTACTAATGACTGCTTGCAATTTTTTAATCATACCTGTGGATGATTAAGGGGGTTGCTACAAAGTAAAGATTCTTAAACCTACCTGTGGCAATTTAGTAGTTTCAGTTAATAACATAATTACAGCACTCCAAATATTTATCGACAAGAGCGCCATTAATAATTTAAGATTCATACCACAACAAGAAGCATAGTTTGGCAGACTGCATTTGCATTATCAAGTGAAAGATTGGGACAACCACTCAGGTAAATTTCAAATCATATGTTGTCATTTTACTAGAAAAACCAGCTCAGCCACATTTCTAACAGTTAAATCAAGGCTTGCGACAAGGTCAACCTCTTTCTGCAATGTCAATCATAAAATTTAAAGCAACTCTTAAGTTGCTATCCGAATCTCACATTCCAATTCTTCCAACATATGGTTCTGCAAGCAGTAGCAGATAACACAAGATGCATATCCTCAAAAGTTCCGTAAAACCCTTTTGGATCTAAATATGAAACATTTTGATGGACTTAACATACGACAGTTGTTACAAAGCACCACATGTAAGTTTAGAGGCAATAATTATTTTTTATTGACCTTAAGGAACATAAGGCAATCAATTTATCGTAGTATGCAATCAACAAGAACCACCAAGTAAAAGGACAATTTTGTTTACCTGACGCTCCCCCTAAAATTGGAGAAGATGATCACTCTCGACTCCTTGAAATCTTTTCTTTCTGCATTCAGATAGAATATAATGATAAAAATTGCCCAAAATGAGATTTCATGAGAAAACTAAGATGTCCACATGAAGCAAAAAAAATCTTAACTGACTCATCAATTAATTGGAAAAAAGTTGTATGGTGTGACCTTTTGATAGGTACCACCAGCAAGGTTTGACTAAGACAGCTTCAAAACTTGCCAGTCACTTATGTTAGAAAAGCATGATATCTTAAATTCTTAATACAAGTCCAAATGACCTATAGTATCATTGCAGAAAAGAGAGTTCAACTACTCAAAAGACAGAAATTAGGACAGGACCTTGATTGACGAAATATTAAAAAGGCACCAATTATATAAAGTAGGTTAATGCAAGAATTGTCCATCAATTTTAAAAGGTTTTAAAATTTGGCAGCATCCTGCAAAAAAAGGCCTGTAAGAGGTATGAAACGAGCTATCACAATATAGCAAAACCCTGAGCTGGAAACAACACAGCCAATACCACAAAATAAGACGAGCAAAAAGGTATACGTAAGATTTTCAGAATTCCCTTCATTGTCATGACCTAGGCCCTAAACCATATGGGCCTAGCACTTGAAAGAATTATTTAAAGGATGCTGTCCGGATGTGAGTTGCCGAAATTATCTCATGATAGCCAACATGTGATACGGGACTACTTTGGGGTATCAAACTCTTGTATCAAACAGTCTCCCTCGTGAACTCCGTGATTGCATTTGCCAATCAAGAGTGACTGCGACGTAAGTTGGCATCCTCTATTAGATACATCATGAGTAATAATCTTAATAATGTATAGTTTTGACTTTTTTAATAAGTGAACCAGAATGACTTGTAATCAGTTCAATCTTAAAAACTAGGCATGGTGCTCTATTCCTAGTCAGGAAGAGAATTATCAGCCAAAACAACCAAAATGAAAATCCTTAAATCATTGACAAAATGAATTAAAATTGAGAGGAGGAATATAAGTCTTAGTGACTTCAACTCGTAAACAAGCAACAAGAAGAAAAGGTTGCTTGAGAAAGAATCATAACAAATTTTCTGATGTTATTATCATATGCTCCATAGAAAATGGACATCATGTACAAGTAGACAGGATAAATGCTATCCTACACCGATGAGCAAATGAACAAACCTTATTCATAACCACAATATATATTGGCATCAATCATGAGGATGATAAAACAGATATAAGCCAAGAAGCATTGTGAAGAAAAAAAAGGATTGCACAAAACATTATAGAAAAAATAGATCACCAAGGTACATACTGAAATGATCCATTAGAATTTCTGTCATTTTTACTAACTTCGGATTTGGAGCACCATGTGACAAGCTCCGCTGCATTAAAAGTTTTGCTTTCAAGACGGTTTCATTCTTGGACATCATTCTCGCAAATGACCTGCCAATGGAAGTGTATATTGATATATAACAGGTTCGAGATCCAACCACCAAATCAGATCGAAGAGACTTAGGAGATGAGAAAAAAGACACGGGTTTCAAGCTTGTAACATAATAGATAGAATAGCTCCGAAGAAGATATTCAGGAAACTTTTGGGCAGCTATCAACTTTACTCATAAATTTCATTATAGAAGAAGAAACCCTAATATGATAAAGTTCTAGTTACGGGATGTGCTTTCGATCTCAAATGCTGCAGTAATCAGCAAGACATTTCATGATATTATATCCAACTTGAAACTAGACGGAACAAGGTCTTTACACCAAGAACAGTAGACATTTGATTAGGTGACCCATGTAACAAATGGTGGCCCATGCAGACATAGACTAGGTGTAAGATCCATTTACAGTCACACATTCGACCATGATACAACTAGCTAAATTTATGGTATATATGAAAATAAATGCACATAGGGGGATACATGTCTTCTCATCCCAGTTCTTAAAATTGTTATTTTCTTTCTTGTTTTTTCGTGTCATGCAGATTGACTATTGTTTTACAATTGATAGGAATTTTTAAGACCCTATAAATCAATTAAAAGCCATACATAAGTATGCAGTTTATCCAACTTAAATAAACAAATAAAGACAATAAGTATCTTAGTAAGAAAATTGATTCCAATGGATAGATAAGTAGCCAAAATTGTTTGTCAATTTGGGCACAAGAGCCAGATTAACCCAGCTTTTACAAGAAACTGGTTCCCCTAAAACTACCCATAAATATCAACTATAAATCTAAAAATTCAATAAAGGTAATTATTTGAACTTTGAAGAAAGGGATCATTAAAAAGAACTGGCATATATGTACTTGAAGAGTATCAGTGTAAGATATGTATCTGATATAGATTAGAATATATATCATACAAGTTTCATTGTCTTAGATATTTTGGTACAAGCATGCACATAAGAGCCATTAAAAGCAAAGCTTTTCTCGGACCTAACCTCCAATGATATTGCTTTCATGTTTGCACACCACAAAAAAAATTGTTGACAACTTGGCATCCTGCATACTAAATGAAGTTTAAATGCTTGGTGTGTAGGGTAACTAAAGGCGATGCCCATTGGCGGAATGGTGTGATCACATAAGGTAACTTGTGATACATTGCCAGTGCCAACACATCCCAGGTTAAGTGCCAAAACCCACATTAAACATAAATAGGTGTGCTTATTCTGCACTGCCACTATATGGCATGCAAAAATGCACCTTGAACATGCACTGACAAGAACAACATACATACTAACACAAATATATTTCTCCACCGTGCCAATATTCCAATAGGTCTTTGTCATCACTGGACGACAACCTTAAACCCTCAAACTTTTTTGAATGAATTACCAGTTTTGCTGGAAAAGGAGAATGAAAATTATTGCATCCATAATGTTGGAGATAACTTTGAGCTTAAGGTGTTTCAGATATGTCCAACAGAGACCAAATTTTGAGGATGGAACTAGAAAATAGAGAAAAATTAGTCAGAATGACTTACAAATGCCAAATTAGGAAAAACAAGATCAAAAGGTGCTCTAGCAGAAGCACCAAACAAAATAACATGACACATTTAGAATAGAACATGGGAAGCTATAAGTGATGATGAAGTCAGATTGAGACTATAATGCTCTTTTAATATAATGCATCAAAATATAGACAAAGGAAATCTGATGAAATGACATATTAAATGGCAAAAGAGCTCATCTCGATCAAATCACTAATTGAAAAACATGGTGTGTGTGCTCAAAAATAAAAATTAAATCACATCTACGTAACCAGGGTATATAATGGCAAAAGAACCGCATGAACATACCCTTGCCTCAGTTTTTCTTGAAGCATATCATATGCTGGCCTCACACCATGGCTCGAAAGCAACTTCCTTATGTGATAAAGGGTAATTAGAACACCAAAACATCCCTCTACTTCTCCATATTTTACATGTGGAAGACTTGATGGAGGTGCTTGACGGAATTTATCCCTTGAATTAAGTAACTCACAGGGGCTCCACTGGCAAGAAGCAAGAATATGTAAATGAAAGCAAAAGACAAGGCGGACATATACAGATGTCTTTGACAATCACCAAGGGAAGAATAATCAACAGATAACTGAACATGTAAATGATAGAATAACATGGAAACACAAATAAATGTGTACGACCACTAAATCTCACCTTTAAGCTCCAGAAGTATATTAAATACATAAAACAATTAATATTTAGTACACTTGGTAATTATTCATGGCTTCATGCATCAAGTGAATAACATGCAGTACACAACAGAATTCTGCCCAGGAGAAAAAACAAACAAAGTAGTATCATATCCTCCAAGGTTTGAACAAAGTATTAGAGATGCAGGAGGAAATTGCATGATTGCAGTGTGTCAAATGGTCAAACCAGCCACATTTAGGTAACATTGACCTTGACACAGAACAAGTTAAGTGTCAACCAAAAGATGGCCTGTTTTAAACTTTTAATAAATGTGTCCAAAAATTAAACACTTAATTAACATATTTATTCTCTGGTTGACCACACAACCTGCTTATCTCGATTAATTAAAAAGGTCAGGTAGAATCAGGTCAGCTTGGAACTCTGCTTCAAGCTTTAGGTCCATCCAGTAATCTGACTTTATAGTTCTCCAGAATCGACTTAATGATGACCGGTGTCTGATTAAGCTCAATTTTACAAGATACTTGCCATCCATTAACAGATTAAGCTTTAAGATAGCAGAAGTTCAAATCAAATGTATTGACTCAGCTCAACAACAAAGGTACTGCTATTGGTAGTGTTATTGGACAAGAATAAACACCACCATGTTCATAGTTCAGATGATAAAACATCTTATATTGCATGGACAAAAAATTGAGAATCAAAACAAGTACATATTCGATTTCAAAAATCAATTAAAAAAATCAGTAAACCAAGAACTGATCAACTAAACTGGAATCTAAAAATGAGGCAGGAAAAGTTCATTACCACATGGTGTAATTACTATTTTTTCTTTCAAGGCTTTGCTAACCTTCACATCCTGCTCCCTTAAGTTATAGCAAAATTGAACAGGAAATCATATAGAAAAATCAAAGTTCTAGAAACCTTTGTAGTTAAATTTAATAATGCAAGCTTTTTATTGGAATTTCTAATTTAATTGACAACAGAGAATCAACAGTCATAAAGTTTCCTCTTTTGAGTTAAACTAAGCTGCAGGCTCCACTTCTGGTGATGTTCTTTTATCAGTTCCTCCAATTCCAGCATTGCAACCAAACTCCCTGAGAACACAATGATTTTATATAAGGTGCCAGCGATTCCTAAAAGCAACATCCACCAACTCTGGGATTCCTAGAAACAAAAGTTAAATGTTCACACCAATGAAGAAGGCTAATGTATCTTGTAGATCACAAGAGCATGGACTACTACCCTGAGTACTTGCTGACCGTCGATCCCTACAAATTAGTGCATGATAACACACCGTACAGGACACCAAACACATTCTATGACACGAATGTGCTTGCACCCACACTCAGCATGCTAGTATTATGTTAGCAAAGAGATCCTAGCTAATAGTGGAAAGGTCCACATCTTCCTTCTCTTGTCCAAGCAATTAAGTCAACTACTTACATTTCATATATGTATCATGGCTTAACTTAAACCTGCATCTACCAAGGCTTAGGAAGCTAAATCGATCAGCAAGCAAAAGCTTCTGAGTGATTCTACATGAAACTAGGTGCCGAACCAAACAAAACTAGTAAAACCTGATACACAAACTTCACAGGATTGAAGCAAGCTACATCCAAAAGGACAAAATTGACAATGAAGATAACATAAAAAATGTACAAGAAAAATAAGGTATTCCTCTTGTAAAATGCTGCATAAGGGTCAATAACATACTTTTGCAGCATCCCTGTTGTGCAACACGCCAATTGTACAAAGCCGAGCCACATATGGATGTATACCTTCCAACAACAAATTATTAATCACACTTGCGTCCTCGCTCATTGCAACCTGTAAGTTCACATATATTAGTGCAAGTATGAGTTCAGAAGTCAGAACATACAATAAACATTCGGTAAACAATTGTTGGCCATTGAGCAATACACAATCAAGCTCAGTGAATGCTTGGCAATGCTTTTTGATTAATAATCATGTTTATGTTCTTCAATTACCATAAAATTTCTAAATTTTGGAATAATAGAAAGTTTAAACATACAACTAAAATTATCAGAATAGAATGTCCTTATCAAGTAACTATTCAACTTGCATCTCTCAAAGATCGGGGAGTTCATCTAATCCTTGAGATCATGTAACTATTCACTTTATTCAAGAAATCACCCCCTCCCTACCTCATAACCCATTAGGGCAAAAGCCCCCAGCTCCCCCACCCCAAATTTGAATGTGCGTTTTCTTTATACTGACTGGAATGTGTCTTCTTTTCCACATTATGCTTGTTCATTAATCATTTCCTCCATAAAAATACTCAATGAACATCTTCTTGTAATTTTTTGTTTCTAAATGTCAAGGTCGTGACCACCAAAGTACACTTCTAAAAGCAAAAAAAATAATAATAATGCTTTTTAGTTGTAAAAGTAATATGCAATACATGCTCTATGGTAGGTGTGTGGTGCTTGCAGAAGCATTCAACAAAGCTACCAACCTCAGGCAACCATGTTTGTGCACAGAAATGGCCTGTGAGGTGTTTGGATAAAAAAATCAAGTGTAAGATCATATCCATTTTGTGCGCCATATTTGTTCACACACCCAGGAAAGAAAGAATGACATATGGACCCCATTCAATTATAAGAGATCTTTCCTTGTGCATACCTGTATTAATTCGAGTGTCCTGTTATGCACATATGGGCTTACATCATGATCACTTTCACTGCGATACTCCATGGTTGAGATATGCAAATTATCAATGACATTCTGAACCGTCCGCTGTTTTGCTGAGTACTCAGATAGTAAGAATATATGATAATATGTCCTTGGAGATTCTTTAACAGATGCAGTACTTACATCCAGGAGTTGCTGTCAAAGCGAGAATTCTTAACTGCACAGGAACAGTCATTAACTGCACAAAAGAACATAAACAAATTGAGCATTAAGAGAAGATGTCCACAGCAACTACATAAACAACAACAACCACGACGACGTAAGTCCCAACTATTTGGGGCCCACAGCACCTACATGCAAGCCTTAATTTTAACAGGTTCTCCAATAAATATATCAAGCGAACAGGCCAGTTACTAGCATGGATGGGTCAAATAACCAACCAAAAAATATTTAACTGCTATAAATTAGATTGATAACTTGTATTAAGAGACACCTCACGAACTGCGACCGAATAGGAATAGTTCCCCAAAGCCCGATGCGCTTCATCAATCACCAAACAAACAAGTTGCTTCACCAAGCATATGCCTAACAAATATCACAAAGTATAAAAGATCAGAAAAGATGAAGGCCACTAGTGAAGAAAAAGAAAGAAATCAGTTAATAGAAACCGATATGCATCATATACATTATAGTCAATTACATCTTCAGGTCTTCTATTAACAACTAAAACCATTTCTTGTTCTATCTACGATCCCCGCATGTTCACCTCGACATTCTCATTTTTCTCACACTAATTTATTGGATATATTATTTTGTTATTATCCAACACTTTGATCCATGAAAACATACTGGGCCTTACAACTTGTTTTATTTTTTATAAATCAAAGTACCATACAATGATCACAAAACACAAGTAAACATAGAGTGAAAAATATGAGTACAAATGTTTTGAGCATATAGTTCAACAAGTGCATCTGCATATTATAATAAAAAGCTAAAGTCAAAACACAAAAGCTCATCAGAAATGATGTTTGCACATTAGTTGGGTTCAAAATCGATCATTAAATACATCTACTTGTTACAAAATGTTAAATTCAAAAACCAAACGCTTATTGGATATGATATTTACATCACAGTTAGGTTCAAAATCAAAATAATAGTCATCAGATACTGGGGCATCATGATGACTCAATATCCTGCAATCGATTCCATTTTTTTAGGCATAGATTTTAAAATTAAGTCCATTCGTCAATCAAACGATGGTTTGTATCTCATATATGGGTCCAAATCCTTGTCAAAATGATTAATCCAGCTAATTGCAAGCTTGAAGTGCAAGAACTCAGATCAATTACCATTGCCAATAATCTAGTAAACCAAAGCAATATTGTATTTTCATAAATTTCTAAGAACAGCTATGCATGAGCAGTTATTGTAGTCACGAATGATTCTTTTTTTAACGCTTTTAAAAAAGTACATTGGATAGCCAAGGTAATGATAAAAATACACCAAAGTACCATTAGTTAAGCTGTTAAAAGTATGATGGCATTACCAGTGATCATTTATTGTATAATGGAAGATAAATCTAGTATTTATCTTCTAGATTCGGATATGCCACTGTGTCTTATTTGTTTGAGTTAAGAACCTGAATGGTCCAACCCAATTCCTCAACTTGACATCACTAATTGTGTAATAATGAAGAAACAAAAACTTTCTTATTATTACCAAAGTAGGTGTGACATCAACAGAATGCCATTATGTGAACTAACAATATAGTCAATCCATCAGGTAGCAACATCAGCATAAAATGCTAAAGAACTATAACTTTTTGAAGCATCCCATATAAATTTCTTCTAGAATAGTATAATATATAAGCAGTCCCAAGCAAGGTTCGCAATACCGTACCGTATCGGAGTTTCGATCTGGGCTCGGTACCGGTACGGTACGGTATACCGCTCGGTACACCCAGGTGTACCGAGCGTGCCGAGCACTGTAGCAGTGCTGCTACAGTATCGGAACGGTAACATATGGTCCGCGTACCGAAAGTCTGTCGGACCGGTACTGCAAACCATGGTCCCAAGGTGGAATATGACATGTTCAACCATTTCACCGAAAATTTTTAGAAATCTCAGAGATGAAGAATAAATTAATCAACTAAAAACAGATCAAACAAAGTGACAAGTCTTCAAAATTTGATTAGTCGGCTTGATTCTATGAGGATGATCCCAACCAGCACCTGCCAATCTCGAGTGAACTAGGCATATTGTAGCGGATCCTGCCTGATTCCAGACATTCACAGAATAAATTGTGACAAATTTTAAGCAATTCAAATCAATTCTAGTTGAATCACTAAATTCAGTCAAGCCAATAGGTCCTAGTCAATCTCATCCAATTTGAATTCGTCACAACAATCTGAATTGGTCACCGCTTGAACAGATTTTCTCAACCGGTGAATAACATATGTACTCTGTAAATGCTAGCCTCCAAGCACATCAAGTGAGACCAGGAACTTGAGAATCAATGCACGGATAGAATTTTCACAAATGCCATTTTTCCATTATAATAGGATACACCATTTAACCACAAATCAATCTAGATTATAATAAAAGTACTACTGAAAACATGCCATAGTTCTTTAAGATATATTTAACATCAAGCGGCAACCAGAAAAGAACTAGCTATCACCAGATTGAATGTCCTTTTCTAGCACTTGTGGAGTGACAAAAAAAACTCTCTTGGATTTCCAGAAAGCCGATCGTTTTGGAGGGCTCATTTGACCTGTCATATCAATTGTCCACTCCTGCAAACAGTTTGATCCCGATCTTTTCACAACTTTCATTTATGAATGTGTCAATGATATGCCTAAAGAACAAGATCAGCGAATAGGAATAAGAAAATTAGTACCTGAGGTATCCCAACAATATTATGACATGCTTCAATCTGTTGCATAACAAGAGGTCGTGAAGGGGCAGTGAATACAATTTTACCTGAGCATTCACAAGTATATGTAAATCAAAGATAATCATACAAAGAGAGTAATAATAATCTCTCATAAAGAAAGACAACACCTTTAAGGTTTATTTTAAACATGCATAAAAATTAGTTGAACTAACTTGTTCCAATTTCCAGGCCATTAAACCGAAGAACCATTTTTTCCAAGTAACTAAAGTGAAAGTAGTTGTAAACTATTGTGATTGCATTAATCATTAAATTCAATTAATTTAATATGAAAGATCCAAAACTAAAATTCAATTCATGCTAGTATTACATCATAACCAATCAAACACCTAGTTTTGTTACCTTTGAGAGTAGGCCACTAACACAAACCAAAACTTAAAGCATCAAGTTACTAGCAGTAGGTTGCCCAGATTAACATATGAGGATTCAACCTTTCCCATCTCTCTTCAAAGCCATATGTTTTGGTGCTGCAATAAGCTTTTGGATAAGATTTAATGCTGAGTCAAAAAATACCATAGGGGAACCAACCTGCAGTCACTGTGACTAATGGATGACACAACTAGGTTTATAATTAAAGCCAAAAAGAGATAATTTCTGGATATGAAAGGAGACAACAAGCCACTCATGGTTTTGTGGCTATGATTGAACCATAACAATCCAAAAGAAGTGATAAGGTTTGAAGACCAAACTCACCAAAGCGTGTGAAGGCTCACTTTAATGTAGTCAAATGATTAATGTGATAGAACACCTTGAGTGCTTGTATGATGAATGTAACAGAAAAAACTAGAGTCTGAACTTTCACAATTCATAGAAACATTAGTGCTCACATTATGCATGCCAGTCTGATGTATTAATCAGCCCATGTAACTCCCAAACTAGCAAGGGAAAAGGCACCAACAATAGTTGTATCTAGTAGCAATATTATTGAGTTCACGACCTTGGTCTTCCCAAAGTGCCATCTAAAAATAAACAAAATCCAGGATTTTTAATGGTCAGTCAGATTCAATTTAGCATGTCAAATTTTTATAAATTCAAAGCAATAATCAGCCAATCTAATTGGATCTTCCAGGAAATTTAATAGATTCCAACAGTCAAGCAAATTTTAACCAGGTCCTGACCAAATTATAGCCAATTCCAACCCAAGTTTACATAAGTTTTGACCAAACCTGACAACATTCCTCCACAGATCCTGACTAATTTTCAACGACTTCAAGAGACAATCCAACCCGGCAATTACTCTGCCTATAATTGATTCAGTTTGATCTCAATTTACTTCCAATGATCAAATGTAAAACTGATTATAGTTTCATAAATCTTACTCATCACTTGGATTCCAATGTCATCTGTAAGGACTAAGGATCTAAGGGTTCAATAAGTTGTCACAAGGACTACATGGATTTAAATTTTCATGTCATTGTAAGGAATAGGAATCTAAGAATTCAATAAATGGTCATGAGGACTTCAAAGATTCAAGTAAGAGTAGCTGTGATACTTCATGGTACAGTTTTAATCTTAAAGGCCAACAGCAGAGAAGCATTGTGAATTTGGATAGTTTAGCCCAACGGCATAGGGACATACCAACTGAAACAATTGGTATGAGTTTCATGTTGACATACTACATACTAATTGATACACATAATGTGTTGATACAACCAGAACATGCTCCACAATGTCAACACATGTCCATGTAACCTCAAAAAATACCTGGTGCACATATTGAACCAACATAATTATGTGGACCACATAGTCCAACAACAAACAGCACCAAAATTTGTGCTTCAAATTCCCACACTGGAAATCAGAAAATGATTAACTATAGAGATGAACTTGAATGCCATTTGGTAGTGTAGTACCTAAGGTTTATACTTTTAGGGCCAAATCTACAGGGCCCTTATTAGGCCAATTAGGATCCTGATATATTAGATTTTTCTACATCCTCAGTACCACTTTTATGTTGTTTATAACTTTATCTAATATAACTTTTACATTGTTTTGTTCGCGCAACTAAAATGATCCCAAATAGTACAAAACACCCTCAGCCTATGTTCTTTGGTTAAATTATACAGAATTCCATCCTGACATTGTTCAATAATTCAAATGGAAGTAACAGACAGACTCAACAGCCACCTTTAAGCATAAGTAAAAATAAAGATCAAGTAATTTATATTTTTCAAAATAAGATGCTGAATACTGTAACCCATGTAATGAAGTTCAAAAGGAAACAAGACTTCACTACAACTTGCAATATTGTACATATACAGTTGCAATGTGCTACACTTAATTAATCATAACACAAGTTCTTTTTCACAAATATAATGTATGTTGAAATGCACTGTGTGATCTAAACTTGCAACAAGTATCTCAATTATTAGTAAGTGGAATCCACTAACATATGAAACTAATTCATTGCTAAATGATCTTTATTCAAATTATCTCAAGATCCAGACAGGCACTTGTTCTCTGCATTATAATAAAATGTAAAAACAATAAATAGATTGTAATAAAACTCATTTAAAGTTAATCTAATATGATGCACCATCAAAGATATTACCTTCAGGAAACCATCTATAGTAGTTATACATCACCACAGCAGCAATAAGTGTTTTACCCAGTCCTGTTGGCAATGCTACTAATGTGTTTGAAAATAGAGCAGTCCTTGCAATAGAGAACTGGTAATCACGAAGAGGCACATTCACTGCAACAAATCCACAGGTGAGAAGTAAAGAATGTTGCAAACATACTATTTGTAATTAGATATTTCCCTCTTCTCCTTTTGTGACCAATCAAATAAATCTAAAATAAATGAATGTGATTTAAGATATTTTTTTATAAATGTAAGACAGAAATAAGTTCAAGATACAGGATAATCTTGTTGTTCTTGAATACAGCTTTCTTAGATTGAGATAGAAACCCATATACTTCAAGAGCCATTATGACTGTAAATTACCAAATTAAAAAGATATTCTGTGCTTGCTTAAGGGATTTATTTTAAAAGCCTAACACTACCTTGGTAGTTGCAGGAGTAAATCTTGGGCCTCTCGGCAAGAGAATTTAGTTTTATACTTGCTACAGGATTTGCAGGCTTAAAGATGGGCAGCACTCATCACTCAGAGGTGGAGTTCCCCACCAAACCGTGTATGATTTGGCAAACCTTGTTGGTATTTTAAAATGTAAAGAATTAAAAACCTAATTATTATTGATTCGACAACCTTATTAGCATTTTTTAAATGTAAAAAATTATAATTCCTTGATCTGCTAAAAAGTTTGGTGCAACTTTTTGGCCCACCTTAACATAATTAGTTGCAGAAATGCTTTTAGGAAAACTTTCAGGTGGATGATTGACCCACCAACTTTAAGAGGGTTAACATACAAAGTTACAAACTGTACCTAGGTTAAGCTCAAACTCTGCCAAATTTTTGCCTTTTTTCCAGCAGTATTCTGTAATCATATCCCACAAAAAAGAATATAATGCCTTTTGTTCTGAAAAGCTAACATATTCCTAGAATAAACATAACTGCTCCACAAATATCTCAGCTCTTCTGGTAAGGATCATAGTTTGATTTATGAAACTATTATTGAAGGGAAGAACAATTAAGGCAATCTACATGAAAATCTTTTCAATTCTGGAACAGTTCTTTAGAAGTTACCTAAGACAAAAATGTCCACGATATAATTTATTTAACTGATCAGACAAGCACTTTATACACAAATCTTTCCATTGATATATGTTTCTAGTACATAATCCATTGCTTGGGGTTCTGGTGCCAAAATATCAAACATGTTTCATGTTTATTTGATGTAAGAAACAACAATTCCTGGTCATCAAAATCATGGCGTAAATTTAAAAATAACTTTTAAAAAATAAAAGAAACTAATAAATGTATTGTAGTTTATGATTTTGGATCTACAGTTCTATACATTGAATGTAATAAAAATAATAATAAATTTTCACAATCATAATTTTACTAATATAGTGCTTTCATATCAATATTTCAAAATGTTGCTCAATCTCTTCACCATAAATATTTTCAGTAATTATTACATAGTTGATTATATAAAAGACAAAAATAAAAATTTTAAATTATTTCATTTAAAGGTTTTGATTATAAACTAATACTAAATGACAATCATGAAATTCTGAACATGTTCTTCTTGAATAGACAAGCATCATGCCAGATCTTTTTTCTTTATGAAATGTATTCTTTTTAATCAGTCTCTACTTGTCCATTGAGAAAAACAGGTCCTAATCAAAATCCATTGTGATAACATGGCGACACTCAAGCATGGTTTGCAATATTGTATCATGCCACTCGATACGAGTAGTATATCAATACACCTTAGTATATACCATGTGTCAGTATGCTTGGTACAGGTCGATATGTACCGTACCAACAACTGATCGGTACACCGGTACAGTACGGTATTCAGAACCTTACACTCAAGTAATACAAATTGGAAGTATAAAAATTGAATGTAGATGAAAAAATAATGAAATAAAGTTGAAAGTCTGGATCCAATCTGATTCAATCAACCAAATCCAGAAGCCCTTCATTTTTTTGGGAAATCATCATGAAAAGCTAGACATCAGTGTATCCCGAGATGATTCGATTAATCTGGCAAACCCAGGCAACTTCCATAACTGGTCTGGTAGGTTTTGTTGCAGATCCAAGTAGTTCACAAGTAGTCAGGTCAAATTCTATTTGAATTTATCAGTTTATAACTAATCCTAGCCAAATCCGAATCATTCTTAAGAACCTGAACTCAAAATTCAATTCAACCAATCAGGACTGATCCCAATCTTAAATCCTATGACAGCCATCAAATTCACTTGTGGTCCTGCAAAACTTAGTCATGGCCTTAGGCATCTTGTGTCTTTTTCTAGATTAGGTCATTCCAATCAATTAATTAGCAACAAGTTCAATGATTGAGTTAATAATGACTATGGTACATTGAAGAGTATGACAGGTTCTTTTGACAAGAAGTACACACCTTTGTGACCATTATGTTGGAGAAGAGACTTGTCAAGGCACACAACATAGTAGGCAGAAAAGAACAACGAACATAATAAGGAAATCTGTGTACGAACTTGCCCCACAGACAGGGGCATCTATGACGACAATAACAACAAGTTGTAAATCTGAGTCAATCTGAGTCATTTAATCATTTTTTTAAGTTACAGGGCACTATCTCTAGTCAAAGGAAGAGGCATCAAATCCATTTTAATTATTTATGGTCAAGCATTCAGATTACCCCTTAACAAAGAAAAAATATTATCCACTGATACAAAGCTACAGATTTATTTCTCTTAAAACTCCCAATCTCTTTGTGATACCAGTAACTTATCAAATAAATGAGAAGGCCCAAGATACACCAACTCGTTGCAAAAATTACAGACAGCATCAAAAGCAGAAAAGATAGATCCCCATGAGTCAGCTGCATTATTCTCTATCTCTATGTGATTTTACTCAATTATACTAAAAACATAATATTTAAGACTCGATAGCATAAGGCGTTAAACTGATAACAGACTCACAGAAATGACAAAAGAGTAACAACCGCATAGAACAAGATTGGTTGGCAGAAAAGATCCATGCAATCCTACCAGGATAAATCCAGGTTTTGGCAGCTTCAAGGTCGATATCGACAGCAAGCTGCTCATCTCCACCAACAAGATTCTGCTCCTCCTTCGCCTCCCGACCACGGGATCCAAAACGATTCCCATCATCATTCCTGGTGCGTTTTGTGCCGTGAAAGTCCACAACGAATCTATCTAGAGTAGACTGCCGGCCCTCACCGCCACGTCGCCATAAATTAGCCGGAGCTCCCGCCGTCGCGACAGGAGTGGCAAAACCTTGCGGGTTCGAGGTGGAGGTCGAGGCGGAGGCGAGTTGGCAGGCGTCATCGATCTCCCGAACGGCCGCCTCCCAGTCGAATTCCTGCGGCAGAGAAATCGTGCAGAGGGTTAGAGTTAGGGTTAGGGTTTGGGGGCGTCGGGGAAATAGAGGAAAAGAGGGAAGACTAGAGGAGGTGGGGAATCTCACATCGTTGTCGTCGTCGTCGAGAGGGAGAGCGGGCGTCGCCATTTCACTTCCTCTCTTGGGGGATTCCTCGGATCGAGCGGAGATGGGACAGGAGGGCGAGAGGCATAAAGCCCTCGTTCAATCCACTCGGCGGCAAACCATATCAAACGGGAAGTCATCCAAAGAAGATGCTTTTTACATATCCATCCTTTAATAGTTCCAAAACAGTATATTTCCCCCTCATATTTTTAATATCGCATATATTTTCCTCCAGAAAATTATATTATGCACATATATTTATTTATTTTATTTTTAAGACTTTAGAAATCTCAATATAATTTTTTTTAAGTTGGTACTTTGATTCCACACCAAATATAGTACTTTGATTCTACTCTTTATCTTCCACAAACATCTCCACCCTAAGAATGCTTCAATTGATCACGTTTCCTAGGAACATAATACACAGCCTAATTTAGGCTCAAACATGATTTATAATCAGGTCAACTGACAATTTCATTATCCTGAGGTCAAAACTTTGTAGAACCACAAAGCATCAATTTTGATGCAGAGACAAGGAATATTGCAGAACTTTCTTTAATCATATAGAGAGATTGTTATTACATTTAGACTCATCTCACATGACATTACATGGGACCTCATGATTTGTGACACAGATAATCAAAGTATGACAGCTATTCTTCACGGAATAAGAATGAATGAATTAAAATTACAACTGACCATTTCATTATTCTTAGGTCGAAACTTTCTACAATCACATAGCAACAATTTTGATGCAGAGACATGGAGTATTTCAGAAATTTCTTTATCATATAAGGAGAGATTGTTGTTACATGTAGATTGATCTCATATGGCATTACATAGGACCTCAGTATTTGTGATACAGACAGTCAAATTATGACAACAATCCTTCACCAAATAAGAATGAATGAATTAGGATTACAACTGATTGGCTGCCACCGCATGACTGCTTACCGGTATGTCAAAAAACAAAAAGAACCAGACTTCCAGTTAGCTTGACCTAGTTTGATGAGCAATGTACAACATCTGTAAACTTATGCTTCTGCTTGCTGACACATGCAATCAGGCATTGGAAAAGTGTACAAGGATGCATCGGGTTTCCGCAAAGTGATGCCCTTTAAGTCACTATGATGTAGAACTTCCTGCATGTTACGCTTGAACTTGTCCCATCTGCAATTGTATTGAAATATGAAGATCATCGAGTATTCTGATGCAGTAGAAAAATCTGTTACCACCTAATTAATGTAGAGCTAGTTCTGATTCTATAATCTTAATAACATCATGGTACTGACAAAACTTCTATTTATGGTTCTGATATATCCTGCTCTAGCATGCACCATTAGCACACTATTTGTATAACCAGCCTGATACAAGATACTGATGTTGACAACTGACTAATGTTTGACACAAGTAGAGTAAAATGTTGAATTGGTAGATCTTGCTGCAAAAAGATCTGGCACAATATCATTCACGATATTTACCAATAACTAGTCACAATTTGAAACATGGATTTTATTTAAAAACATGTTTCCTATGTACAATGTTCTACCAGGATCTGCAACAGGTCAAACTGCATTATGTTGACTATCAGTGAAGTTTCCTGTTAATGCTAATATTTGACAGATAAATTCATAGTGATATAGGGATGAATGTTTTCAACTTTCAACGATATCTTTGTCAGCTTATTAACTACTGTGACACGTAAACTTGACAAAATGTAGACTTACAATCAACTCCTATTTTACAAGACATTCATCATAATCCATTTACAAAGGGTCCGACCAGAAAGTAATGGGGAAATCCATAAAATATTAGAAAAAGAAACAAGAAACCAACAATATCGACATTATTGAAATATTAATACGAGAATCAGGATCCCTTTTTTATCCATAAATGCCAAAATTGATCTGTTGTAGATAGTCAATACTCGTGATGCAAGAGGTAAAAGTTCCAAGTTTTTTCTACAGGCAAAAGTGCAATTATTTCAATGAATTTTATATGCAGTCTTCCAAGTCTAAACATACAGAGAAGTTAATGAATAGCTAACAAGATTTCAGCAAAGAACAGCATTCTTCATTCTCATATCGATTTTTCTCTTATTTGTCTATGCAAGAATGATGTTATATCTTTTGCGTATTGACTTCTTCAATACTGGACAAACAAGTAATTATAATTAACTTTACTTTCATATTGCCTCTTCCTTTTTCTCCAAGCAATGCTTAGTTTCCAGTTTCTACACACATGTTACCGAACAATGGCACAAAATAGTGACAATATATTACCTAATGTTTGGGTTGTCGAATGATAACACCAACTTTTTCTTGTCAGGATTTATGGTCTTTGAGTGCCCTTCATTGAGATATCGCCTATGTCCCATCAGAAAATGGGGAAAGTTTCCACCTTGAGTTGTGACAAACACTTCACTGTGAGCACAAACAGTATAATCCAATGCTGCCAACTGTGACGAATGTCCCTATAAGAGAAAAAACATAAGACTCAAAATATAGTATCATTTAAGATCTAATTAGAGCACTGGTAGACAGATCTGGAAATTTTTTAATTATCAGGAATAATACAGCTAAATAACAAGAAAATCTTGATGCATAACTCTAAATTGAATGGAACTTAAATTCTGATAACACCCAAAGGAAGCTTCCAAGAAGTTAAGGATATAGTATTACAGACACTAAAATAATAGTCACTATTTGTGCTTAGAATTTGTTGCGGCTGCAAAGCCCCAAAAAAGTATGAAAACAAGAAAAGTACCTTGAAAGGTGCAAGTTCATCGGCTGATGCAAGAGTTTCCTTGGTCTCTAAAAGAGGAAAAAGCTGACGGAGTGGAGCCATATATTTTTCTGCATTGTATATCTTACCAGAAGCAACATAGACTGATGTGGTATTACCAAATCCCATGCCTCGAAGCATCATTCCTACCTGCAAAACAACTTCTTTTGTTCAAATGGACCCGTCTGCTAGGAACAAAGAAAACAAATCAAAGTTGTACCTGTCAAGCATTTGATGTCGTAGATATTCAAAAATCAGATATAAATATGGAAAAACCCTGAATCCAGACAGAATAATTAATGACCTGTTTCGGTAATAACAAAGATGTGCCAAAAAAGTCAGTGAAAGCAAACGCAACCACAACATAGCACCTGGTAGAAGCATGTTCTGAGGGTTTTAGCACGAAAAGTCCTACAAGGAAAAACTTTGGTACCAACATAGCAAATTAACAACTCAAACTCATAAGAGGAAGAGGGACTGTATTTACAGTTTTAAACCTAAATAACTCGATATTTCACTGGGAAAACAATTTTTCAAATTCATAAATTCGGATTACTATATTTCACACATTAAGATTCGCAAAAGATTAAAGGATAATTTGGAGATCGCTGAATCCTCTAGTTCATCCTAGAAGGAGATTTGATTAAGAGATTCAATACAAAAAAAAAAACTTAATTAAGGCAAATAACCAATTCAAATAAAGAAAATCTTTAGCAGTAGAAGCATGCAAATAAGATAAAGATGTCATATACTTGGACACCTAGAATCAAAAATAGTTTTTCCATGGAACAAGGGTATCAGAATGAGGAATTATGTTTCCGTGGTGCAAGGATGTGCTGCTTTTGTGCTGGCTAAACCAAACATTAGTCTATCTACATGTCAATGCCTCCAGCACAGATTAGAATTGCATGTGCTGATGTCTTTTGGCATCATATGTTTCAACCAATGCTGACTCACGCCAATCGACATAGCAATCCTTAGAATTGAAGATAAATTTACCATACGATCAGCTGAAATTTTGAAAAAACATATCCTCATCATGATAATCTTGCTATAATCAAGTACATAACCTCTAATGGCGTTAAAGGGCATTTTCCATTCCTTCTGTTAGCCTCTGGGCTAATTACTCGACCAGGTCTCCTGAACTTTCCTCTCCAACTTCTTTCACGAGCTTTATCCATTTCATTTTTCTCTTGCTGACCACCATCATAAGTACAACACGAAAAGGCTACCATATCCTGAAATAGAAAAGGACAGAAATCACATATACCTTTCCAATAGAAAATTTGCAAAGAGCTTGAACTCGTCATAGACCTAACAAGTAACACCTCTTCAAACCGAAGATGCACCGAGATGTACTTTCCACCATTTATTGAGCTGTTATTTACCATTCTGTGAACCATTCTTTCGGCGAGAGATCTTATTGGTTTAGAAAAGCGCAATGCTTCATAGTTTGTCAAACATCTTAGTCCCTGGATGCTGGATGGAACTGAATGAGCCAATCTGTTAGAGAATGGTGCTATGCGTACAGCCCTGCACAGCACATATAAACGGAATGTAAAATCACAAAATGAAGAACTACGTTCCAACATATAACTCAGAAGAAGCAAAACATAAAAATCACAAAACAAACAACTAAGTTCCAAGATATAAATCAGAAGAAACAATGCATATCTGTATAAATGATCTGTGCCATATTGCAATAGCCTACATAACATACAAGCTCATAAGGAAAACTGAAAATCTCAAGCATGAAACTTAAATTGTTTAGGCTTTAAATCAAATCAAGCAGCCACAGTAAAGATTATTGCTTCTGAAGCTAGTCAATTTAGGCTCTAGTCTGTTTAGGGTTGATAAATTATGCAATGATCAACAATGTGAATTTGAACAAGATGGGGAAACATGGGGATTGAACTTGGCTCCATATCACCCATCCATAAAATAAACATGGAGAAACACGACAATACAATCAAGAGAATGACAAATACTAAACTATACTAAGACATATACTGGATGAACTCCACCCGGAAGCTCGATATTTAGTTCTCGCAGTCTCTGCATATTGTGCAGCTAAGTAAGCCACCGTATATCTCAATATTATATGCATAAACTCACATAAATAATAAGTGCACAAGTACAACCGAGGTATACTGTATCAGCATCTCAAAGCTGTGGAATGACTACACATAAGCCAAAAAATGATAAAATGTAAGAATTTTCCAAAGTAATGTGAATAAGAAAACATAAGTTTGAATGATATTGCCAAATAAGGTAGCAACTCTTTCCAAAAGTTTCAACAAAGCCAACAGATATGGAGTTTCTCATAAATGGAACAATAAATTCAATGCAT